CTCTCCCTCCCTCCCCCCTTCCCCATCGGACTCAGAGGCGCCAGCTCAGCCCTCACATCACCCTCCTCCCACCACTGAAGTGGGCAAGACGGAGAGCCCTAGGTCTAGGGAGTGGTCTGCCTGAGTCTAGCTCCACAGACTCCCCAGCAGCCAGGCTAACAGGCCTCCTGGTGCCCACATATGTGAACTGTACTCATCTGCCTTGCCAGAGGTGTCCTGACCACCAAACTGGGCAACTGGTCAGCTGTGGCCATGTGGCTATGTGGCCCCAGTGATGGCAGGCAACCGGCCCTGCCCTCTGACACCTCTATGCCTGCTGGATGGCGTAGGTGGCTTAAGTGTGGAAGGAGTGCTGTGATCTTGGGGCCTGTGAGGCTGTGAGGCCTGGCTCATGGGACCCCAGCTAGTGGCTTCTGGGGAGGAGAGCGCTGGCCACCTCCTGGGGACAGTGTCTGCCACCGTCCCCTATTCACTCCACACGCCTCACATCTGCCGATCCTCGCAGCCGGCCTGTGATTTCTGCACGTAAGGAGGTCAGGGCTCAGGAAGTGCCACAGGACATCCCATGGGCATCAAGTGCTGATGTGGGATCCTCCTCCCAGCGCTGGCCTGTGGCCTGTGCGTAAGATGCACGTGACTCTGCCGGGACGGATGTCCCCAGAACCTCCTTGCAATCGGAAGTGGAGGCTCACTCCTCCCGGAACGGCTCAGGAGACAGGGGTCTGCCAGAGAAGGCGAGCACAGGATGGGGCCTGCAGGATGTGCCCTCCCACTCCAGCTGCCCCTGCTTCCTGCTGGGCACAGATGTGACCTGGCAGGCCGCACGACCCATGGCCAGTCGTACCCCTAGAAGAAGCAAGCCGGAGGCTGGAGGCTGAGGCTGGAGGCTACCCCGGACCTGCCAGTCAGTGAAATAACCGTGGACAGCAACTGGCGTAACCATGGACAACTTCCTAGCCTTCCCCTCTTCACCTCCCTGACCTGGGACATGGACATCAGAGAGCACCTATGTGGCCAGGATGTCATGTTCACCAAGACACCATTGTCATTGCTTTGCTCTGAGTCAGGCAGCCATTTGTGGCCATTGGAATGTGGGCAGAAGTGACCAGCCCGCCCACCACGAGCACCCTCCCCACGTGACTCTCATCCTCTCTCCCTGTCTGCTCATTGCAGTGGGAAGGACTCGAGGAGCAACTTAGGGGATGTCAGAGCCACAGTAGCCATGCCTGAGCCCTGGGCCACCAGGCAAGAGGGACAGGAGGCCCTGCCTTAGACTGCGATGGGAGAAGCAGTCACCCCTGCCATCACAAGCCTCTGAGAGTCAGGCACATGTCCCCATCAATACAACCAACCTTGTGAATTGGTCTGAGTCCATCGCATGTGAAGCATATCCACTGGTCAGCGGCTCAGTTAGTGCTGCCGACACACTGGCCATGCTTTCTCATGTGTTCTGATTTGAGGACTCAAATCACAAGAGGGAGATCTTTCCAGAAGGAATAATCCTTTTAGTCAGACCACTTATTTTGATGGCTGTAGGTCAGTGGATCTTTCTAACCAGCCAACTGTGGGACTCACTGAGACCGAGGCTGTCCCCTATCTAGGGGGATGACTGATCCCTGCTAAGCTCTGTCTGCTCCATGATCCTTCAGTGCAAGTCTGTCTCCTTTCCCCACAATGTCAAGGGACCCCTCAGTGTGGGACAGATCTCTGGGTTGCCAGTCCACCTGCATGAGGCCTTGGCAGGGCTCGAGACACACAGGACACAGCATTCCCCAAACTCCCCAACATATGTCCACCTGACATGGTGGTGTTCACAGTGGAGAAGCACCAGGGGTCCTGATAATGGAAAGCAGCTCAGTGGAGAGAGAACCCCAGGGCATCTCAGAGTCTCTCACAAATGTGTCCAGTGTTCCTTGCCCTATGCAAGAGAGACAGGAGAGGCTACGTGAACTGACCCTTAGAGGGGGGAATGCATGAGGCAGCCGCCTGCTAACTGGCCCTTTTCCTGAGAGCACTGGCCAGGCAATTTGTAGAGAGACGGAACCCAAGCAGAGAGCCTTAATGGACTGCAGAGTTAAAAGGGAGCCCCCAGGGGTGACTGAGAAGACAGGAACCTCAGAGAAATCCCCGGAGAATGGAGACACCCAATGAAGGATGAAACCTAAATCCTCACCCCCATCCTCTCAAATTAGTATTTGACTCCTAAATTATACACATAAGGAAGACAAGACTCCAGGAAACAGAAAGACAGTGACGCTCAAGTCAAACAGCAGAGCAAAGTTCAACTGCTTCTCAGGAACAAAGTGGAGTCCAAGTCCTGTGAACTCAGAGAAGACTGGACTCCCCATTGGAGCCCCATAAATGTCACATCTTACAAGTTGGGATCATGCCACCGGACTAAGGGCCATGGTCAAAGGGCATAAAGGAAAGACAAATTACCCAATATAGCCTAAAACAAGCATTCATAGGACCTAGATATGCCACAAGTAATTTCACTGTCTGCCAGAACAAATCCCAACTTCAGCAGAAAAATTACAGAATCCAGGGTCTTTATAATGTGTAACTGACCACGTCCCATTCATAACGAAAATGACTAGTCAGCAAAGAAATAGGAAAATGGGATGCATAACCAAGAGAAAAAATAGTCCTTTTGGGCATGGTGATGGAAACCTGTAATCCCAGTGTCTCAGGAAGCTGAGGCGGGAGTATCCCAAGTTTAAAATCAGTCTCAGCAAAACTTAGCAAGACCCTAAGCAAATTTGTGAGACCCTGTCTCAAAATAAAAAATCCTAAAATGGGCTAGGAATGTGGGTCTGTGATTAAGCACTCCTGGGTTCAATCCTTGGCACCAAAAAAAAAAAAAAGTCAGCAGAAGTTAGCCTATGATGACTCTGAAGTTGCAATTAGCAAACTCTTTAAAATAATCATTGCAAATAGGTTAAAGGATATAAAGAAACAGAGAATCCAAGAGCAAGAAGAAAACTAAAAAAGAACCAAATGAAAGTCCCAGAAAGATAAAGAAGCTAAACAAACAGACGAAAAACTCATTTGATGGTCTTCACAGTCGCAGACTGAATACTGCAAAGGAAGGACTCCAAAAACTGGAAGACAGAGAAAACAAATCATCCTAACTGCGACACAATGAGGAAATGCAGCGGTGAATATCAGGGGTCTACAGACCTGTAGGACCCTTCAGACCTTCTGCCTTGTGTGCAGCAGAGTTTCACAATGAGGAGAGAGGAAGGAGAAAACAGTGCAAATATGTTCAAACTTTGAAGAAAACTATTACTGGAGGCCCAGGAATCTACATTAATTTTTTTAGAAAGATAGATAAAATAAAAGCATGAGCACATCAGAATAAAAAAGATAAAAGAAATCTTAAAAGTATCAAGAAGGGTTGACAGGAAGGACGGCTGACTGAGCGTGGAGACAATGCGGGCCAACAGCGGTGGAAGAGCACTCTCAAGGGATGAAGGAAGAGAGTCTGTGGTTCCATCCCCAGCACCACGGAGAGACCTGGATAGCACATCCCGAGGCCTAGCAGGGCTCAGTCCTGGGGCCAGCCCATCCTCTTCCCTCTCCCCGGAGGAGGGGACGGGGGCCTTTCTTAACTCCATCCTCAGCCAGGGCTTCTGCCCGCGGTGTGATATGGGCAGGTTGGATCTTCTGATGTCTTCTGACCTCCTAGGTGGGCTAAAGGGAACAGTCTGTTTGGGATGAGTGGACTCCACGCCATCTCCTCCAGGGTGTGTGCATATAGCAGGGCACACTCGAGCAAGTGGAAGAAGAGCTGGCAGAAAAGGAAGGCCCTGCCCTGCACACCAGCACACGAGCCCCGTGCCTGCCCTGGACACCCACACCCACCTCAGTTATTTTTTTGGTACCCACAGGCACTCGGGACCCAGCTCAGGACATCGCAGCAAAGCGTCTTTCGTGTCTAAACAAAATAAGCAGAACTCTCTCCCCAAAATAACTCCTAGAAACCCTGAATCCCACTTTTGGAGCTAACCCTGTCCAGTTCAAGGAATTACCTCCCTTCTTAGTAAGAACACCAATGAGGTTGTTACTACTGTTGCCCCTGCTTTACAGAGTGGGTCCTGCCACACAGAGAGGTAAAGCCTAGGCTCAGAGTCACGCAGCTCGAGCCCAACCTCTGCAGCACATTCTGTGCTCACCTTTTAGACTCTCTGCCCACTGTCCTCACCATCAGCATCAGACCTCCAAATTGTGCCCTAACCTTGACCCCCAAGCTCCCTGCTCAATCATGCCATGACCTTGACCTCCAAGCTCCCTGCTCAAGTTGTGCCATGACCTCAACCTTCAAGCTCCCTGCGCAATCGTGCTGTGACCTTGAACTGTGGTATAGTGCGGTAGCTCGAGCTGCACCTGGCGTTCTCATTTATTAGAATTTAGATGAGATTTAAAGTCTGGGTCCTTTCAAGTGCTCGGGGCCACATGTGGCTGTGATTACACACTGGACAGTGCAACTGTCACTCAGAAAGGCCCACCAATCAGGGCTGGTGAGGGCCTGAGAAGGTGGACACTAGCTGTAAGGTGCTGGGCCATTAGGGGCCCAGTGAGCTGGTGACCTTGTTCCTGCAGGTCAGTGACTCAGAAGCAGGTGGCCCCTGTGAGGGTGGCCTCGCCCAGCCACCATGGACAGTGTGGGCAGAGGTAGAGGGGGTGAGCTTGCCTCCACCCTGCCTGGGTGCTCCTGGCCCTCGGGCCTCAGACCTGGACTGGACTCTACACCACAGGCTGTCCTGGTCTCAGCTGGTGGAGGCAGATGGCAGGTTCCAGCCTGCGTCACGTGTCATGTGAGCCAATGCCTGACTTCAGTGAAGCGTGTCCCCTGCTGGCTGCACTACAGGAGGGCCCATGGTACAAACCCCACGCCAGCACGCCAGCATGGCATGCTGACCGTGCCCACACCGGCACTTAGGTGGACAAGGACTGTGGTTTAAGAATGAATTCTGAGAACATGACCTCCATCAGTGTCCCAGCTACCCTCTTCCCCAGACACTGAGAGGCCTCCGGCTGACCACCTGAGACCTTCTCCAGTCCTCAGGAGCTGACCCTGGGGCTACACCTGCTACCCCACCTCCCCACCCCAGGTTCCTTCCCTGGGACGCTCTCTTCAGCTCTCCGGAATGGGCCAGGGGGCCTGTGTTTGGTGTTTCCCAATCCTTCACCCCAGCACTGACCATGAGATGTCCTAGGGTCCCCACTCTTCAGACCCTGGCCACCAGGTCGGAAACCAGAGCTCACTGCGGAGTGTGATGTGCTGACCTTGCCCGTCCATCACCGCCTCTTGGACAGGCCCTCCCTTGGCAGTGCCGCCCACCTTCTGCCAGTTGCTGCCCTGTGGGTGGGCAATTCCTGAGGGTCTGCCCCATAGGGCACACAGGACTGCACAGCCAGCTCCCTGCATCGAGGCCAGTCCTGCATGACATGAGGCTTAAGAGGCCAGGTGCTGGCAAAGGTCACGCTGGAGAACACGGAGGAATCCACGTTCACAGATGAGGCTGAGGACCCTTCCGACTGCTCAAGCAAGGACTACCTGGGCAGCGCCCAGCAGGAAGCCTCAGGCAGACCTGGCCCCGGCCCCCACAGGGAGGTCTCCTGTGTGACTGTCACACGAGCCAGCTCACTGCCCAGGCACTGGGGGTCACTGGGTCCTGTCCATAGGAAGGAGCCCTCCAGCTGATGTTGCCTCTGGATTTCCCCAGGTGCGGGGGGACAAAGGGCCCTGGCCAGCTCCCTGTCCACAGCCCAAAGGCAGAGGTGCTAACAGCCTTGCCTCGCAGCTGGGCCAGGACCCAGATGGCTTCTGTGACAACCTTCATGTCACTGCAGCCCATCAGCACGTGCTTACTCATGACCGGGAGACAAGAAGGAGCGAGGTGGACAGGAGCAGGCCCTCCCTCAATGGCCTAGGAGTGGACGCCCATGGAGAGGCAAGGCACCCAGCCTCCTCCTGTCACAGGACCAGCCTCTGGCTCCAGTGCCAAGGAAGCAGTCCCTGGCTGGCCCTGAAGCCACCCTGAGTCCCTTCTCTGGATCAGCACAGGCCAGCACTGTGCCCTCATGCTGACCTCGAGCCTTGGAGGCCACATGGATGGCCCGGCTCCCTCCCGTTGTGCCCCCCTCCCTGGGGCCAGGCAGGACGCAGGCTCACCTGCGGGCAGCGTGGAGAACTCCACAAAGGCCTCCTTCTTTTCCCTCTGCTCCAGTGGCAGCTGCCAGGGCATCTGGTGGGGCTTGGCGAGGACCTTCACCTTGTAGGCCATGTTGGGCCTCAGGTTGAGGAACTGGTACTTGTACCGCGCAGCCTTGACGACGTCGAACTCCTCCTCATTAAGGAAGATGACGTGGCTGTAGTTGCTGTTGGTGGGCAGCCAGGAGAGCCGGGCGGAGATCTGCGTAATGTTGTCCACGCGCAGGTGGGAGGGGGCCACGGCCACGTCCTTGCCCACCAGCAGCGTGCACCGCAGCTCGTCCGAGCTGCCCCTGCTCGTGACGCACTGCACGGAGATGCGGTAGGTGCAGGCGGCCGTGTTGAGCTTCTCGATGAGGGCCTTGGTTCTGCTGCCCAGGGCCAGGCTCACCCGCGTCTCCTTGTCCACCAGGACATTGTAGCTGCTCACAGTCCCCCAGCCCGGCGGCACAGCCGGGGGCTCCCAGCCCACAATGACACTTTTGGCAAGCTGTTTGATAAGGGTGATTTTTCTAGGGTAAGGCACGATGTCTTCTCCAATGTCATCGATGTTCACATCCAGCGTCCCCCCGCCGTCATCAGTAATGCCCGGGTCTGTGCGAGTCGGGGAGTGGAGGTCGAGGATGTTCTCGCTCCCCAGGCCAAGGCCCGAGTGGTTGATGAAGTTCTGATCCTGCTCGGTCCCCAGAGTGCTTGCCAACCGAGACTCGTTGTCCTGGATGAAATCCACAAAGTTGGAGGGCACCAGGCCCCTCTGCCCATCCAGGAGCTCCCCTGTGGGGCGCGAGGACAGGTTATCAGTGCACCGTCCCACCGGGCCCTGAAGTCACAGGGCACACACTGCTCCTGCCCGACAAGAGCACTTCATCCAAAGTGACCTCCACCGCGAGGCCCGGCCTCTCCCTGAGGCTCACGGAATCTGGGGCTGTGGTGTTAGTTTACCTGGGTACGTACGCTGACTGCCTCCCAATGAGAAGACTGCCCATGAGGATAGGGAGCTCACGCTGACTATGGGGCCAGCTCTGGGGTGACACCTGGTACCCAAGAGGTGCTCAATAAATATTTTCTCAAAGGATGAACAAACTAGTAAAACCCACGGCTTTTGGTAATTGAGAAAATTAACCCTCCTACGGCTGAGCGGGCACAGGCATAGGGATCTAGGGGGTTCCTGCTCTGGCCCCATTCAGGGGCTCCCCACGGCTTCACTGGACGTGAAATGGAATGGTGGACTTGGCGTCAGAACCATCTCAGAACTGAGTGGCTTATAAAAACCCTGAGGTAGTTTTGGTGTCCACCTGGTCTTATGTGTGAGCCATAAGCTTCTTGTCAGCAGCTCAAAAGGCTAATTGCCCTGGAGGCCCCAGAGAGGGACAAGTACACACAGGAGCTTTGAAGGTGAGGCACAGAGCCCACAGTACTGTCCCCCAAGGTCCTCACAGGCTACCACCCAGCCAGGTGACCAGGGGGACTGGATTCTGCTCCCGGGAGAACTCTTGCCTTAGGGGAAGTGGGACAGGGCCTTAGAGGGCACGGAGACCAGTCCATCTGCCCTGGGTTCTCTGTGTCTAACCCTGACGCAGGGTGTTAGCTCAAGGAAGACCAAGCGTTCCCTGGAGGACAGACTATGAAACATCCATACTGTGACTTGGGTGGAAGGTAATGATGACAGTAGTGGTGGCATTGGTGGAGATAGTGATGATGGTGACATTGATGGTGATGGTGGTGATGATCATGGTGGGGATGGAGATGGTGATAATGTTTATGGTGATGGTGTTGATGATGGTTGTGATGGTGATAGAGATGGTGATTGTGAGAGTGGTGATGATGGTGAAGATAGTGATGATGGTGATGATGGTGAGGGTTATAATGGTGATGGCGATGTTCATGGTGATGAAGGTGGTGGTCATAGTGATGATGATGGTGATGTTGTTAATGGTGATGGAGGTGAGGGTTATAATGGTGATAGTGGTAATGATGATGGTGATGGTGATAGTGACATTGATAATGGTTTTTGGTGACGGTGGTGAGGTCATAATGGTGACAGTGATGACAGTGAACATTTGCTGAGCACCTACTCTGGGCCAGGCTCTATCATAAGCACCTGATATCTGCCACCTCATTCATCCTCACAGGTACCCTAAGGAGTAGGTACCCTGCCATTTTAATTCTGCAGCAGAGGAAACTAAGGCCCAGAAGGGAAGCAGGTCCCATTGCCACCCTGACCGTGGCTCCCTGAGTTCCTCAACCTGCTCTGAGCCAGCCCTCTGAAGAGTCTTCGTGGCCACAGAGCAGGGAGTGATGGCAGAGCTCCGTTGGGGCAGGGTGTACATGTCCACCCTGGGGTGTGACTTGGGGCCTCCAGAGCCATAGCCCTGCATCGCAATCAGCTCATGGCAAACGTGTCGCTGCCTGCCAAGGGTGCTCACACGTCCACTGATGGCCTGGCCTCTTGCCAGCGAGTGCCAGAAATGAACCTAAGTGCTCCAACCTGCTCTAGGGAGACCCTGCAAGGCCATGCAAGAGAAAACTTGTGGTTTAACAAGACGAACTCCTCCTACCCAGGGGGACAGGGCAGACCCAGGCCCCCCGTGTGGGGCAGTGGGTGGTTCAGGGACTAGATAGGGCAGACCCAGGCCCTCCGTGCAGGACAGTGGGCGGTTCAGGGACTAGAAGGCTCATGTCTACAACAGAAAGCTACTCACGGAACTGTGGGGTGTCCTGTGTGTCCTCAGGCTAAACAAGGGAGGCCCTTTGGGTAGACAGCTCACAGTGCCTGATCCCAAACTAGAGGCGGGAGGGTGGTGTGAAAGGGAGCAATCTTCCTAGGAATGGGCCAGACCCCCTGGGGCCATGACAGCCTCAGGATGGGTGGGCCACCTCTGCAGGTGCTGGGAGCCACTCTCAGTGAGGTCACCTAGATGGTCCTGGCCACACCAAAGGATGCAGCCTGGGGGCTGGGGGGCAGGAGGATAAGGGAGGAGGGATCCCTGGGAGCACAGTCAGCCCTCTGTGTCCACAGGTTCCACAACCACAGACCCAACCAGCTGCGGGTAGAATAGGGGAGGACTGTCCTGTCCTGGACAAGTGCAGTCTTCTCTTTGGCACTGCCCGCAGGGCGCTGTCAGTGACTGCCCAGGGCACTGGTGAGGTGGTAGGCACCGTGGGCACCTGTGGGGACTTGGGAGGGCAACGAGGATGTGCATACGCTGTAAGCAAAAGTGCCCCTTCCTGTGAGGGACCTGGGCGTCTGCCCACTTTGTATCCTTGGGAGTCCTGGGACCTGTTCCTGTGGGTGCCAAGGGATGACCATGGGCAGAGGCCGGTCAGTCCCGGGGTGGACACATGACTGCCAGACAGCCCTGCAGAGCTGAGCATCCTGAAGATCCACTGAGCACCAGCCTCTGCCCGGGTGGGAACCCGGCTCCCCTCCCAGCCTTCCTGTCCTGAAGGGAACCCAAGGACTCAGGCCCCACAGGGACAGAGCAGCAGCTCTGCAGCCAGCAGTGACCGGGGCCTGCCGGCTACCAGCCCAGGAGCGCTGGCCTGGGGTGGACTGGCCAGGCTCCCCAACAGCAACCTGGTGCCAACAGAGACCTTCGTAGAACCCGTCCTCGTCCATGTCCCCGTACACATAGAGGTACTTCCCCGCCGTGAGGGGCAGCTCGGCCTCCGGGTTTTCATTCGGCCCATCGAAGGGATTATAACTGGAGGGAGAGACAGAATTCAGTTCACGACCCTCCTGCTCCTGCCTGAGAAGCACAGCCCCGTGCCCAGCCCAGGCTTCGCCTGCCAGGCACACAGGCTCATTCACACAGACCACGGGAAGATGAAGACAGAAGTGTGATGGACCTGACATCATCCCATTGCCCTTCCACCATAACTACACAGCTCCATATTATTAAGGCAATAGGAAGAAATGAACCTTACAAGCTTTAAATATATGTAATCACACTAAGGCGGATCCTATCACATACTACTTCACGATCCACCTACTTGTCACCTTGTAACACAGCGTAGTGCTTGGGAAACACTGCCTTAGCCTTTTTAGTGGATGTGTAGTAATCCACCAAGCAGCTTGGCAGGGTTTACTTAGCCAGTTCCCTGAAGTTGGGCATCAGTGTGGCCTCTAACTTTCTACAAGGGTCAGTGTGTGCCTGGCTAATCCTGCCCGCACACACCTCTCTAATCTCCTCCTACGGATCCCAGGGAGAATATTTGTTGGATTAGACCTGGGCATTATTCCAATCTGGGATGTGACTGCCAACCACCTGGTCAGTTACACCAGCTTCCTGTCCTTGCCCAGCCTGGGAGGGTGGGCGTCACACCTTCAGGTCCTCAGCACATAGGGGTCAACTTCAGTCAGAGTTGTGGCCAGAGTGAGACAAAGTCAGGTGCCCCCGGGGTCTCCAATTGCAAAGACTGACTTAAAACAACCGGAAAGGCCCTGTGAGGAAAGGAGACTGCAGCCAGCTCCTACCTGTAGCGGGCCACACACAGGTGGACTTTGCCCGAGTATCTCTGCTTCGAGGTGTTGGAGTTCTGTTCATTGTCCATCTGTCGGAGACAGGGGGCCTGGTCAGCGGGCTGCAGGCCTCACCTGTGTGCCGGGACACCCAGGAAGCCATTCCGCAGCCACCATGGGCTTTTGGAAAAATGGACCCAGACTGGACACCCACAGGTGGGCAGCCCCACATGCTCAGCCTCGTGTGTGAACCCAGAAATGGCTTCCTGTTGGGCACCCAACCCAGAATGGACATCTACACAGAGCCCAGGCCCAACCCCAGGAAAGCCCTGAGGGGCCTCTTAAGGACCCAGACTGCAATCCTGGCCATGCTGGGTGGGTGGCTTGCTGAAGCACAGATGAGTACCTGTGTCCTCTGCCCTCCGGAGGTGGCACCTCTGTGTTTGATGGTGCCCAAGGAGGGGACGACAGGGAGGGGAGGGGACGCCCTGTCCTGCAGCCCTGACTCTGCCATCCCCTGAGGAAGCCATGGTCCCTTACACCATAGTGACAGCCCCAGGGGTGGGAGCAGGAGTGGCCTTCCCCTGGAGGTCCGGCTCCTCTCCTCCCTAAACACTCTCCAGGTAGAAGCAGGTGGCCACGTCACCCCTGCCTTCAACCAGACAAACCCACACTGTCCTGGTGCCCAGGCCATGACATACTGCCCACCTCCCAGCCCCAGTTCAACCCGTCAGGACCCCTTGTCATGCACACAAGTGTCCGGCTCCCTCCAAGCAGGCCCTCCCCTGGGCTGGACGAGCCTCTCCCTGCCCCGACGCTGGGCGGCCCACTCTCTCTTGTGAACTGCTCTCTGCAGGCTGGCTGGACACTGTGAGTCCCGGCCTCAGGGGCCATCTCAGAGACCAGGCCTCAGCTGTGTGCCCAAAGTGGCCCTCGCAGGCCACACCTAGCCATCAGTGAGCTGTCTAGGCCACCCCTAGCCAGCAGTGAGGACAGACTCCAGGGATTAGCTGCAGTGAGGGAAGGACCCAGGGGAGGCAGGAGGAGGAAGATGGGTGGAAGGACAAGGTGGGACTGGGCAGGATGGACAGGGCCCCCATGTCCCCCTAGCCACAGAGGCCCAGCGCCAGGTGCCTGGCAGGAAGACTCACGTCTGACTCAAATCTGCATCTTGGGCTCCCCGATGGCGACAGGAAGGTGGGGACAGGAAGGTGGGGTTGGTGGACAGCAGCTCCGGCTTGCCCCCTGAGAGTGGGGAATAGTCACCAACCGCAGGGTAGTGTCCAGGGGCACTCTCGTGACCTGACCACAGTCAGGGGCATGGCAGGGAAAGGAGAGGAGATGAGACAAGCCTGTGGCACCTGCTCCCTGGGCACCTTCCTCTTCCACCTCAGCTGTGGGGGCCACGGGGGGCCCACACAGCTCGGCTTGTCCACGGCTAGTCTGAGCCCACCACTGGCCCTGAGCCATGCAGCCTGGCTATAAAGGGGGTCTGTAGCTCATGGCAGGGGCTCCAGTCAAAGGGCTTTAGTGGGAGCCCCCACAGACATGCTTCCCCTTTCCTTGGCTTAGAATAGGACTGTGAGTCTCAGTGACACGGCAGCCCTTTTGCCACCAGGAGTAGGAAACTCCCTCAAGAACAAAGCCTGCTCTCAGACTGGACCCTGGTGACATGGCCAGAGCCCCTGAACCAAGCTGTACCTGAAGCCAGAGGACAATTTCCTTTTGGTTCACACCAGGGTAAGTTAGATTTTGCTGTCACTATGACCAAGAGTCCTAATTAGCCAAAGGGTCAAGTTTACTGCTGGAAAGCACTTTGGACAAGAGCCCTACTGGAGGACAACGGGGCTCAGCCTGACCACCCTCCCCGGCTGGGGGCAGGGAGCCCCATCCTGGCTGCTGGGAAGGGGCACTGAGGGCTTGACCCACGGTGGTCTCAGTGTTCCCTTCAGTTAGACTCAGAGGCGATCTAACTGAAGACCCTCCCCCAGGGTCTCTGCTAGCATAAGGACAGGGTGGGTGCCCTGCTGTCTCTGACCAGCCTCTGTCGGGCCACACCTCGGGGACAGCTCCTGAGTGAGGAAGGACCCGGGGATATAAAGTGACCTGAAAGCATCCCTAGAAAGGCATCTGGCAGAGCCCCAGAACTCCCCTGGGCAGGTGACGGCTGATGGCACCTAGGACAGCAGCAGCGTCTCCCTGCTGGGACATCGGGTCCAGTGAGGGGACCCTGCGTATGGCCACAGGGCCCTGAAGCCATAGCATGGCTTGGCAGGCAGCAGTGCAAGGGAAAGGGTCATGAGGAACTGGCCCCGAAGCCGGAGGAAGCCAGCCAGGAACCAGCAGGCTCCCTGCTCCAGACTAACACATCCTTCCCTCCCCCGGCAACAGGGGGGGGGGAGCACGACCCTGGAAGGGGTGTGAGTGGAAGTGACTGTCCACCGCTGGCTGGGGGCTGTGGACCGGAGCTGGTGGAAGCCCCCAGGGTCTGGGGTTGGTTGTTAATGCAGCAGAATTCAGGCTGTCCTGACTGGTGCCTTGCCCCAGCGAACTGCATGGGTGGCCAACACACAGCAGTGTCACCTTGCAGTCACCTTCCACTTGTTCAGACCTACAGGAATTCTCGAGGGAGAAGAGGTTTTGTCTGGCATGCCGCATCAGGGGTGAGAGTGACCTTACGGGGTGGTTCTCAGGTGCACTCTCCAATGATCCCGAGCTTTGGGACATGTGTGCTCCAGAAAACAGAAGTGCTAATTCCCAGTGACTTTTTCTGGGATATCACAAAAAAGTTCCCAGCTCCCATCCTGAAAGGAAAGCTGGCCACGAGGGTGGGGCGGGGCTTGGGGCGGGGCCTCTTCCCACCCTGTCGGGCTGCCAGCTCCCGGGTTTCCAGGGATGATTCTATTGGGGTGCAGTATCTCTGCAGGGAGGTCCTTAGAGACCTCGCTCTCCTGTTATGTGGCTCTGCTTACAGAGTCCCCTAGGGCTCACACCCAGACTTGTCACCCACCCAGCCTCCAGGCCAAGACCACCTCACCGGAGGCAGAGGAGACCTGCTGGAAGGTTCAGCAGAAGCAGAACCTCTGTTCTTCTGGGACCCCGTGGCCAGCCAGCAATTCTTCCCTGCCCACCCTGGAAGAGCCGGACAGAGAGCCTGGGGTGGACAAATGGACACAGGACATGGACTAAGCCAGGGCTGGTGTGTGACTGAGCAGCCGAGCACCTGCCTAGTATGTACAAGACTCCTGGATCCAACAATTGTGAGAGAGGAAAGGAAAGAGGAGCAGAGGGAGAGAGGGAAGGAGGGAGAGAGGGGAGGAGGGAGAGAGGGGAGGAGGGAGAGAGGGGAGGGGAGGAGGGAGAGAGGGGAGGAGGGAGAGAGGGGAGGAGGGAGAGAGGGGAGGGGAGGAGGGAGAGAGGGGAGGAAGGAGAGAGGGGAGGAGGGAGAAAGGGGAGGGGAGGAGGGAGAGCGGGGAGGAGGGAGAGAGGGGAGGGAAGAAATGAGGAAGAGAAGCTGGCGTAGGTGCACAGTGCAATGCTCTTCAGCCTTGGGCAGGGCCAGCCCGGCTGTGGGGTTCCATTGCCAAGCCTCTGCCCGCACAGCCTGGCTGGGAGGCGGATGGTATCCTTTCCCCACCCCCAGGCCCAGGGAGGCCCAGTACTCACCTTTGCCAATGGAGGTGGCTAGTCCATTCATGAACTGCGGGAAAGGCTTGCTGGGGGCCAAGGGGATGTCCAGCGAGGCCACCGAGCCACTGCCTAGCAGGTCAATCTTCCCGGCCTGCTGCCGGAACTTCTCCAGGTCCCGAGACAGCCGGCTGAACTGCTCACTCTGCGTCCGGCATTTCTCTTCCAGCTCTCGAACCTTGCACTGCACAGCAGAGGTGGGAGGGGGTCAGTCAGCAGGAGGCCTTGGGGGCCCACGTGGCTAGGACTGTGGGCTGTGTGCATGGCAGGCCTATCTGCCATCTCATGGGAAGTCCCAGCCCAGTGCCTAGCTCTGCATGCAGCTGGCTGTCAGCCACAGGAGAAAGCACAGGTGTCAAGAATCCCGGGAGCGCACAGCTCACAGCCAGCACAGCTGCTCCAGGCTCTGAGTGTGGCCAGGACCCAGGGCATGCCTGGCTGCAGCTGGTGGAGGTGGGTAGCATGAGGCTGTGACCAGCCCAGGCTGGGACAGCATGCTGGCTGACCCACCTGCAATGCCCACTCCAGAGGGCACCACCTCTAGCAGAATAAGGGAATGTCCTTCTGCTGGACAGGTCAACAAACTCGCTGCCATTTGCCCACTTCACAAAGACAGAGCTTCCCTCAGGACACACAGGAGAAGGGCCGCCCAGCGAGCTCTCTCCTCAGGCACAGGCCTGGGCCAGGCCATAGCCGGCCTCAGAACCTCTCTGCTCTCTGCTGCTTCCTGACCCCATTGTGGCTGCCCAATGCTCAGGGCCAGTGTGCACCAGTGAAGCCCCCTCCCCCTCCCCTCTGCTGCAGGAGTTCCTGCACCAGGCAAGGCCGGTGCCCAGGTGGAGGGGGAGGTGGTCCCTGCACCACACTCCTCCTTCCCTGCACCCACCACCTCCCATCCTGTCCCTCATATGTCTCCATGAACCGCAAAGCCCTGCGCCTTCACGTCCTGCTTCTCAGACACATCCTCAGTGCCTCTCGGTACATCAGGTACAGTCGGTGCTTAATAAACAAATCGAGGCAAAGCGGGAAGTCCTGATGTGCAGCTACCATGTTTCCATAGCATGGCTTGTGCCATCTGTGTGCACACCCTGTCCTGCTGTCCCCCAGTCTAGGACAGCTGGGACGCCCTGTCTGTGCCAGTGATGATTCTGCACATCGTCTGCCCCTTGCTAAAACATCACCTCCAGGTCAGGTCTTCATCTGCTGGGTTCCTGCCACACCCAGCCCATGGCATGGGCCAGGCATTGTATGCAGGCAGCGCTCAATAGATGTCTGTTTTATTGAGGCCCGAGGGAAAGTGGGAGCGGAGGCTGGAGGCACCTGTGCCAGTTGCGGCAAGCTTTCCCTGCGGCTCCCCCTCCCCTTCCTCCCTCCCCCTCCCCCTCCTCCCTCCCCCACCCTTCTCCTCCTCCCCCACCGCTGGAGCTGCAGCCCCTTGGTTCTTCCATCCAGAATGAAGTGCTATTTGTGTCTGAGATCATGGATTTCTAAAAATAAACCTAACATGTCCCGAGCCTATAATTAATTTCTTCAATTCATTAAAAAAAATCAGCAGGATTCTTCTTAAAAAATCTGAATGAGCTTGCCCAGGATGGCTGCCTTGGCTGAGGCAGGCACAGAGCCAGAGCCTGGGGTGAGCCGCGGTGACGTCAGGTTCTGGGGCCTGAGACGCTGGCAGACAGGGGCTCCTGGGAACAGCGGCCACATGCCATCGCAGGAAGGGCCTGGGAAGGGCCTGAGCTCACCAGAGGCACCAGAGGCTGCAGGTACCTGTGTGCCAGGTGAGACGCCTGGGGTGCGTGGAGGAACTGGAACCCGGGTTTAAACAGCTCCAGGTACTTCTTGGTGCCCCAGGAGAGCCACCGCCCCCAGCCCCCCTGCACCAGTGCCCACAGAGGTGTCCTCTGAGGAGCCCTTGAAATGAGCATAGCCACGGTCCTCAGGGCCCGGATGGGAGGGTGTGACGTCCTCAGGTGGCACAGCCGACCATGCTCCTGGCCGTCATGGTCACGGGGCCCAGACATGCAACCAAATTCCACACAACTGTGACCAGAACCAGAAAAGGAGTGTGAGTGGACCCTGGAAAGGTCCAAAGGAGGCAGCTCTGCCCCTGAAGCAGATCCCCGCCGACTCCCCTGCGGTCCAGTGAACACTCTGTGACTCTAGAAGCCTCTGAGCTTTTGTGACTCTAAAGTACTTCAAAATAAAGAGGTTCAAAAAGTAAATAGTGTCTTAAAACTACGACACCACAAGGCCAGGCAGCCACAGTGAAGACCAGGACAGCAGTGCATGGACAGCCTGTGCTGGAGGATGCCATGTCCCACCCAGGGACATGAGCACAGCTGAGGTCACATGAGCCTGCACAGGACTCTGCACCCAGGAATGCCTCACGCCAGGGACTGCGGCTGTGGGCCCTTGGGTACGTCTGCCCCTGTGTCTGTCCCACCTGCTCAGCACTGGGTCTAGAATGTGGCGCAGAGAAGGTGTCCACACAGGCTGGTCACCACAGAAGAAGTCTGTCCAGTAGAGAGCCTGCCAAGGAAGCCTGAGGGCCCTGGCTCACAGGCGGAGGAAGTCTGGGTGGGGCCGGCCTCCCTGAGCAGCACGGGGGCTCTCAGGAGAGAGGGATCCGGGCTCGACTTGGCCCCCAGGCCTCCAACAACGGATCGTCCTGCACTGAGCCAAAGGCCCCACTCCCCAGGTCCCCGCAGGTGTGAGATGCAAGGCCTTGAGACTGTCCTGTCCACAGGAGGCTGGACTCTGCTTCCCTTTGTGGAAAGAGGCCAAGGTGATGAGGCACGGCAGAGTGTCAGCAGGAAGCTCTGGGCTACACGGCACTCGTCTCAGAGGGCAGAGGGAGTGTCCAGTCTTTGCGGTACAGATCACTGGCCGGGGACTGCGAGCCACTGGCCCCAGTAGTGGTGTGGGGTGTGCTGTCCCCACCGGTACCCATACAAGACTGTGGAGCTCCAGCCTGCTGAGCTTGGAGGTCCTGGGCAGGTGCTGGGAGCTGACCGTGAGTGGTGCACGGTGCCTTCTGCAGTGCAGCTGATGGCACGGGGCTGCCCACAGGAGGAAGGGATCATGGCCCAGGTGTGGCTCTGTCCAGCCCGCTCTGGTCCCAACTCCAGTTCTTCAAGGGATGCAGGGATCTGTCTCAGGGTGGAAACCCTTTATTCTAAGCTTCAAGGGTCTGGCAGGGCCGGGGCCACTGGAGGCAGGGGCTGAGGGCTGTACGCAGCGATCCTGAAAGTGCAAGTCCTGTTCCTGCGTCTATAGGTCCAGTGGCAAATTAGGGCAGGCTGTATGGCCCTGTGGCCCTGCTGACCTCCAGCTGTCCCAAACAGGTCCCCACACACCAATCACTGTGTCCTGGGGCTGGGGCTCTGCAATCTGTAATTCACAGTCCTTCGGCCCAGTGAGTGGGGCGTCCACTCCAGGACAGCAAATGGCCATGCTGAGAATCCCACCTTTGGGGAGGGCCCACAGCTGTCCGGAGAGCCACACTGCCCGGAGCCATGGATAGCTGTGTCTCCACTGATGCCAGGGTGTGCTGATGAGCATGCCAGTGTCCCCATGAGGTGACCGGCTCTCTCCTAAGCATGAGCAAGGACAGGCAACTGTTGGTGGGACTGGACGTACTCAGAAGTTGTGGACTGGCTTGTGTACCTGAGCTGCCCCATGCTCGAGTGGACAAGGCGCAGGACTTGGGGTGGCACCTCAGGCTGGGTCTCTAACTGATCTGTGCCCAGATGCCCAGGCCTGTCCAGCTGGCAGCTTCCCCTCAAGTGCACCGAACTGTTGGAAATTCAGGACATCACAGGGTGTCCCTCTGCCTCCGGCCAGTCAGGCCTGCTCCTGATGCCCATCACAGGGGAACTGGGTAAGTGCTGTGTGGCAGCACTACCATCCAGGGAACCTCTTCCTTGCAGGACTTTTCTCAGTGCTTAGGAGGTGACCTTGCTGGGCAGACTGGCCCTCAGGACCCGGCTCTGCCAATTATGAGCTGTGTGTTCCCTGGAAAGTGGCTCAGGTCTGGTCTCTGTGCCGTGATTGCCTAACCAGTGAAATGAGAGAATGACAACCTCATCCGTGGCTTTAAAGATTAAGTTCTGTCACACTCCCCGCTCTGGTGCTGTGACTCTGGGACTGCAGGTGGCAGGGAAGAGGCAGGCAGGCCAGGGCCTCAGTCAAGTGGAGCTGTGCGTGGGGCTTGCAGTCCCCCCACCTCCGACACAGCTTTGCCAGAACATAGCCTGTCCTCCCGGCAGGGGCCGCAGGAAGCTGGAGCAGGGTGGGGCTCCTGGCCGCCAGGCTCTTAGGGCTCATGTGGGACTGGCTCCACCTGCACGCTGCCCGCTCACACTCCAGGAAACAGGGCTACCGCATCCCAAGGCTGGACTTCCGCACGCAGCATCTAAGGGCAGGGTCAGGCCTCCCAGGTGAGCTTCCTCGGGCCTCTCTGTACCTAGCGGAGTGCTGTCTACATCAGGGTCCAATTTACATCCATATCTCAATCCTAGGAGGTAGGTAGGTGGCTTGGGTTGGGGGAGGAGCTCTGTTACAGCCAGAATACGGGCTAACCAGGCTTCAGAGAACCGCATCCCCAAAGATCCCCTCCTCCCAGCAGCTGGCCCGGGGGCCTCTCCAACAACAACACTGGACTCTGCAGACCCTGCGGCCTCGGGCCCTGGATTCTCCAATAATGTCACCAGACCCTGCGGCCTCCGTCCCTGGGGGACACACAGATCACAGACACCCATCCCAGGCTCCAGAGTCTGCCCCTCCAGCAAGCTTCCAGGAGATGCCAAGACCACGGGGCCTGGGTCCACCTGAGGACCCTCCTCCAGCAGAGAAGAGCTGGCCCTTTTCTGAATGCTAAGTGGGCTCAGAGGCTTGCAAAATGCCCAAAGGCCAGCTCCAGACACAGCACGGCTCATACTCTACCTCCACTCCCCATGGAGAACTGGGCTTCCCGCTCAGCAGTGGAGGGAGCTTGCTGTTGGCACAGGGCAGGCAGGACAGAAGGGTACAGCACCAGGGTGTAGTGTGAATTCGGATGACCTGTGCTGAATTCTGGGCACTAAGTTGTGCCCTCCCAATCCCGTGGCTGCAAAAGGACCAGATCATCGTAACAACCTCTCTTCCCCATTGGTCATCTGAATTCACAGGACTATGTGACAGCATTGGCAGGACATAGGAGAGCATAGGCCCCGGGCCAGCCCCAAAGTCCAGGGGACAGCACTTTGCAGGCTAGTGCAAGCTCCTGGGCCCCCAAGCTGAGAGCCCAGAGCCCCACCCACAGCAGCACCTCAAGGAGCCCAAGGGAGGGGAAGGGCAGGGCTGGCCGGGGGCTCAGCTGAGGGGCACTGGCACACGGGCAGGGTCAGGGCTATTGGGAGTACCTGCATGCTGTCCAGGGCGCTCTGCGTGGGGAGCCAAGCGAGACACAATCACAAAAAGACACTGTGAATAGACAATTCCCAGCAGCCACGCCGCCCTCCCCTCTGCCCGACCCAGGCACATGCTTCTCGCCTGTCAAAGCATGCGGTGAGGGGCTACAGCAGACCCTGAGCACAGCCCAGGGGAAGCCCCAGTGGGGAGCCCCAGGGATGAGCTCTGGGGGCCTGGAGGCAGGGGCTGCAGCCATGGGAGGGTGGAGCAGGTGGGGCCTGGCCTTCTGGGGCAGTGGGGCCTGGGGAGGGCAGTCTCCCAGCTGTGTTTCCTACCCTGTTCACATGGCACCCTGACACCCATTCACTAAAGGACACACTGGAAAATCAACTTCACATGTACTTGACGGTGACTGAACCTCCCCCAGGCCACACAAGGGTTCACATGCTGCTTTTGGAGGCTCTTCCCTGGGGGTAGGAACAGGCCATCTTAAGGGGTGACCCTGCCCATTATCTGGAGAGCTTGGACTCACTGGGGGCTGGCGGCCAGGAGGAGTGACGCTGGGCAGTCCACTTTGCCTACCCCTAGCGGGTGGCTCACTGTATGCCCTTGTCTTCAGGCCTCCGGCTGCTCTGCATGCATGAAGAGTACAGGTGGCCAAGGTCCCCAGAATGACCCCAAGAGCCCTTCCTTGATGCCTGTCCACCTTCTGCAGAGGAGGCTGGCCTTGGACCAAAAGCCAGGGCAAGCAGTGTCCACTGCCATGAAGCTACCCAGCCCAGCAGTTTTCCTTCCAAGTCCCCCTCCCTGAGGGGCTGGAAAAGGTCACTCCCATGAGGACGGTACCCTTGGAAGTGACTTGGTGGCACTGACCACTTTGACTGCTAGGCTGTCCTTTATCTGATCCTGTAAGTGCCTCCCCATGGTTGGTGCCACACCTTAAGAACGTCCTCCCACCACCCACCAGAGGACAGGAGGCCCAGAGAGAGCTCGCCCACAGTCCTAGGGACCATTCCCAGGCCGGCAGGGGCCAGTCCTGGCTTTCCCCTAAGAGCAGCTCCTGAGACAGGAGCTCTGACGCTGGCTGTGTGGCAGAGGAGGGCTTCTCCCCTCCATGACCCAGTGTCCCTGGGGAAAAAGGTGGACATCGCCCTGGGGGTAAAGGTGGACATGGCCCCAGAAAGATGCGGCCCACTCACCTCTAGCAGCTGCACGGCTCCCTCGTGCTCTTTCTTAGCTTCAACCTGAGCCTTCCGCATGGAGAGAGAGAAGAGCAGTGGTCAGAGGAAAGGAGGGGCCGGTAGCTCTGAGATGGGGCCCCTCGCTCCCAGGGTCTCCCCCAGGGCCAGGAGCAGCTTTGGTTGGGTTTGATGCTCTTGTGGTCCACATAGGGTGGGCCCTGGGATGTGGCTGGGCCTGAGGGTGGGCAGTCTTGTCCTGTTCCTGAGAGGGGCCCAGGGAAGGACACTGAGCCCCAAAGAGGAGAATGGTTCTGCCAAGGCCATCACATGCTGTCGGGTTCCACATCCTCACCCTTAGGGACACGGCGAACAGCAAGAGTGACCCCAAACAGCTCAGGGGCCGAGATCTCGCTGACCTGAAAGGAGGGGCCATGAGTGGGGGGTCTTACAGAGGAAATGTTATAAGTGTCACCAAAGACATTCCGGGCTCAGGACAGCCACGGCCCTGCACAGGGCAACTCCTGCAACCTTGGAATGCAACATTGCTCCTTGTCCTCTCCGACCTGGACGCTCCAGCATCGTGATGACCTAAGTTGTGTTTGTGACCTCACCTCCTCTCCTGGAAGGCCCCTGAAGTTGCTGGGATCTACCCTTCCCTGCCCTGAGGAAATGAGCAAGACTCTCAAAGACTGGCGCATCGGCAGGGGCACGAAGCCTAAGTTGAGCAGTGATACTTGGCCTGGGTCTTTTGGGAGGGAGGGAGATTTCTCCCTTTTGGGCCATAACCTGAGGGAAGTAGAAATTGGAGCCAGGTTGGCGTGGCCAGGGTCCGCCACGGGGAAACCCAGAATGAGTCACCCTAGAGAAGGTTGGGAGCCGATCCAGAGAGAAATGAGTTCTAATGGCACTTGGGATTTAGCTGTGTCGGAACCAGCTGGTTTGAGCATTGGATCAGCCATATCTGAAGTCAGGTTTCCAGTTACTGGTGAGGACAAGATTTCCTTTGTGGATTTTCCATCTCTTGAAGCCAAGATTCCTTGAATGAACACCATCATCCACCATCAAGACCATGGCACCCCTCATTGTAAAGTTGGAGAAATGGAAGCTCATTGGGGGTCTGAGAACCAGGGCTCCTTGGGTGCACCCCCCACCACCCCCACTTTGCACCCCACTCTGCAGGGCTCAGTGGGCTCAGACACTCCCAAGGCAGAAGCACTGATGTCTGGAGAAGGAGTATCAGGCACCAAGAAAAATCCCGTGCTAAGCTGAGACCCACTGTTCAGCCTGGAGAAATAACGTCTGGGGCGTCGTCCGTCACAAATAGGCAAGTAGGCACTGTCCTCACAGCTGCAGCTTCTCCCTGGGAAGACTGCGTGTGGGTGGACAGAGGGGGACCTGGGTCCTGGCACCGACTAGCATGAGAAAGGACTGGCACTTCCCGGGGTCCATCCACGCCCATGGCATCCTCCCACACCTCCCAGGAGGGGCCGAGAGCCAGGCAAGTGACCGGGACTCCGCTTGTCAATCATGCTCTTCTCCAGCCAGCCCAGATGGCAAGTGCTCAAAATTGTTCCTTTCTCAGAAAAACCCAGCAGAGCCATAATAAATAACAGAATGTGAAAAAGGCCAGTGGTCAGGGGACCTGTGGGCCTGCACAAACAATGCCCCGTGGCATCGGTGGAATCGGGAGGCCTTCGCCCGGCAGGCCCACAGGGCAGTGCCAAGGCGGCCGGCACCGCCCAGCCAGGCTGGCAGCAATTCAGTCCTGGGCTCTGGATAGAAATGTAGGCTTATGTTGTCAGGCTGCCTGCAGGCTGGGCCACTGGACAATCAGTTAGAACAAAAGTTAACAGATGAACCTGGCAGAGCCGAGTCCTTGCACAATCTCAGCAGCAGTGAGCGAGGCTCCCTCCCAGGGCCCCATCCACAGGCAGGCAGGTGCCACCCTGCAGAATGGACCACACTGAGGGTATGACTCCAGAGGACTGAGGCCCCTGGACACCCTGGGCCCCTGAGGCTGGAAGGAGGGGCTGCTGTCCCAGGACCAGCTGCCCAGGAGGCCGCAGCAGAGGCTCCAAGCCAGCCATTCAGGCACAAGAGCAGCACAGTCCCCTTGATACTCAGAACAGGAATTGCCCAGGGGCCACAGCAGTGGGTTGGTAGGACGGAGGAGCCAAGGGCCTTCATCAGTGTCTTTCAAGTCAGTTCCACAGAAAGCAAACAAGACCCTAGGAACCCGTGGAGCCTCCATGGGTACCCTGCCTTGGCCCTGGGCAGGCTCAGCAAGCTGGCAACATACACCAACACCCAGGGTGTGTCTGGAGAAGTGCAGAGCCCCACGCCTGCTCCCCACACAACAGGATGCGGACTCCCAGGGAGGTGGCCTGAACCAGAGTACGAGGCCATGGCCTCTCCAGCTCTGACATCTCAACAACAGCCTTGAAACCGACCACAATCAGCTTGCCAGCCACAAGAAGTTTAAACAATAGTCAACCTGGTCAGATCCACAGATGCATTTTAAAAATGGAAACTCTGCTCTTTCCATAGGTGGCTGTAGGACTGGACATGGCCCACCCAAGACTGAAACCCTCACAAAACAGGGGGTGGGTGGACTCCAGGGGTCTCTCTGGCCTAGAGAGAAGGGCTCGAAGTTGTCACCATGTCTTGAGCCTGCTTTTGTCCTCAGGTTCCCATTGCTGACATGCAGGGTCCTGTGCCCACAGCTCTTGGGGGCTGTGGGGGGGCTGCGAATTCAATCCATGGGCATGGGAGGATTCGAATCCAGCACCGTCCTCGTACTCTGGCCTGACCATAAGCTTTCCTCAGATGCTCCTGAGCACCTACTGTGTGTCAGGCAAGGCCCTGGGATGTGGACGCTGTGTCCTGACAAAAGGCAAGCACAGGAACAAGCGGGCACATTTGGCGTCCCATGCCCTGTGCCACATGGGCAGTAGAGCACAGACTCCCTGACAAAATAAGCCAGTTCTGCAATGACCTGGGGACCTGCATTCTAGACAAAAGCCCCAAGAGGGGACAGGTTTGGTGGTTCAGCAAAGGCAAAAAGGCCAGTCTTCTGCAGAAAGGGCCATGCCAGTCCCTTGCAGATGCATCCTTCAGTGCAGCATTATCCAGAGCCCAGCCTCACCCTATCTGGCCTGGCCGCGTCCCTAGGCACTGCTGACCTGAGGTGCTCATGCCCCTTGAGTGACAGCAAGGCCCTGGGAGCGCTCCTTCCCCATCCCACGGGAAGCTGTGGCTACGGCAGAACGGGCCTCATCCTGGCCTCCCTGCCTTCCTACTCTGCCCAGGCCCCTGGGAAGAGGGCTGGCAGGCTGCCCATCTCACCTGACACCCACAAGGACAGCCTTGTATGAGGCCATGGGTCCCTCTGCCTGCTTGCCCTTCAACATGGCAGTGCCTTGGCTCAGTGTCACGGCCTCCCCCAGCCCCACACTGTAAGGGGGAGGGGCCACCAAGGAAAGGAAGGCACCTGCACCAGGCGATGGGCCCTGCTCCCTGGCCTTTGCTGTCTGCATGCCCAGCCTGTCCTCAGGATGGCTGTGGCTGGAGAAGTGGTCCCAGAGGAAGCCACGTGCCAGGAAGGGACAGCACCCAGCCACATTCCAGACACACTCCTGGCTGCTCATGCACCCTCTGCATCCAAAGAAAGGGCTCCTGGGATCTGGAGGGCGGAGGGTCCAGCAGAGAGGGATTCCCGGGATCCCTTTCTGCATGCAGCCTCCGGAGCAGCCTGGCCTGCAGGAAGAGGCCAGGGCTCCATCAAGCAGGAGCTCGGGGAACGTGGGTGCCGAAGACCAGGGAGGGCAAGGACGGTCCTGAAGGAGCTCTTGGCTCCAGCTGGGAGTCTGGGACTGGGCGTGGGATGCGGGCGATGACCAGGGCAGCGATTAACTGCAGTAGGAAGCCAGAGCTAGACCAGGGGACACAGCCACCATCTGCAGAGCCAGGTCAGGTAGCAGGTGTGCAGTGCTGAGGACCGGGGTCGGGGGTCAGTGGGGCGGGAGGTTGGTGATACCCCAGAGCCTGGGGAAAGAACTGGGGCTCCCAGGGGGCATCTGGGCTGAGACCCAAACCCAGGAGGCCACATACAGGTGGGGCTTAAGCCTCCAGGGCCAGGTGAGGTCACCAGCTTTCAGTTAGAGGGTGACTTTAGAGAGATGTGTGGAGAGGACACAGCCAGGCTGGGACGGTCCCGGAAGCCTGCTGTGCACACGGGGCCTCTGGGTCAGAGAAAATGAGGGCAGAGAACCAAGCCCTGGGTGTGAAGTCCACGCATGGGGTAATTAGCTGCTTGGTGGTGTGAAGAGGGTGGGCTCCAAGAGGGTTCGGGGATATGGACAGAGACATCAGGTAGCTCTCCTGTGTCAGCACCCCTCAGACCCCCGCAGGGCCCGGACAGGCCAAGCATGGTGACTGGCTTTTATCTTGGTGGGGGGAGACAAGGATGTCTTGGGCTGGATGCCTGAGGGTTAGGCTCCAGCTCTGTGCCTGCAGTCCAAGATCAAGCCCTGTCCCCTCGATGCCCACAGCCTGCCTCCCTGGCCTCTCCGTCATGCTGAGCTTGCTCCTGCTGAGGAAATGAGTCCTTCCCTGGATCGTGGCAGGGGGGCATCTTCTGCTCACTAGATGTCACCCCCACCCACGGCCACCGCCCGTCACACCTCCACTCCTCTCTGCATCTCCCGCGGGGCGCCTGCCGTGGCTCGGGTTGCCTGGTCCTAGTGTGTGTTCACTTGCTCCCACTGGGCAGAGGCCAGGCTCCCTGGACAACGCCACCCCTTTCCCAGGACCAGCTGAGTGGCAGCCAGGGGCCACCAGTCCTTGATGAACAAGTGAGCAGGTGGACGGTCAGCACAGGCCTCCTGACAGACGTCCAGGGTGGAACTGGCTGGGAAGTGGACTCCAGGGAGAGCTCACCGATCTCATTTCACTTGACGCTCAGTCTCTGCTTTAAGATTCAGAGTTTCCAAGAAATTACACAATTGGTGCGTCCATAGTTCATCTGGTCTCTCTTCCTCCCCCAGAGGAAGCATCAGTGCATCCAAAAATAGAGAGAACCATGAGCCACGCAAAATAAGTAAACAGAGAGCAAGGGAAAGCGGGTACCGAGGTGAGAGGCTGACCAGGAGCAGTCTGCTCTCCTCCTTGGAGTCTGATACTTCGTCACTGTCCAGAAGCAGAGTCCTCGCTGGTTAGTACTTGCAGCTCTGCAGACTTCTGTGTGTCAGACGGGGCCAGCCTGGGGATGTGGCTTCCCCATTGACATGAATGAATGCAGGTTCCCTCCCGGCCATGGGGGAGGCCCCCCAGGCAGGACGGAGGAAGATCAGAGCTGTATGTCCCTCCACCTGCAACCCAGCGGGGTTCCTCCCAGGCACCACACAGGTGGTTACCAGGGGACAGCCAACTTCTGTGGCAGCAATGGAGGTTCTGTGGGTTCCCATCAGCGCTGGCTTGGTGAAGTCGACCCCTGGAAGGAGGCTTCCGGAACGACTGGAGGAAGGCCACCAGGAATCATCTGGCTGCTGCCCCAGCCCTTGCTAATCAACTTTGGAGGAGAACAGTGGCGATTCTCACCCCCAGCCCTGGTGGGAAGCATCACGTGGCCCTTGTGAGGTCAAGGACTAGAGAGGCCGTGGATGGCTACGGGCCTCCGTGGAGACCCAAGGCCTGGCCTGGGCCCAACAGCCAGTAGCAGGGCCAGGGCCATGAGCAGCGACCACAGCCCTCTGGGGTCTCATCCCTCTGCCAGCTCCAACCAGGTGCTCTTGCCGGAAGGCCCACTGCCCTGCCAGGAGGAGGAGTGGGCAAGAGCCAGGACACTGGGCATCGGGGAGACACTGTTCTCAGGTCTAGAATAGTTCTAGTTCCTCGGGGGCCAGCCAGCCCCTTGTTCCTGCAAGAGGGACTTCCTACTCATTGTGAGATTGCACATTGAAGGGCAGGGCCACCATCCTTAGCCCACCATCACAGGGGCCTGGGGACGCACCTGACTCCTGGCTGGCTGGTCCCTGCTTCTCTCCTTCCCTGCTGTCCGTCTCACCTTTCTCCTCCTCTTTCTCTTGATTCCTCTCTTCTACTTCCCTCCCTCTGCTTCTCCCTCCCTCCCTCAGCTTCTCCCTCTCCCTCTCTCCCTCTCCCTCTCTCTCCCTCTCTCCTCCTCTTTCTCTTCCTCCTTCCCTCCATCTCCCTCTCCCTCTCTCTCTCTCTCTCTCTCTCTATCCTTCAGTGCCCCCCCCCCCCCCCCCCCGCCGATCTTGCTATAAATACTGCTCAGCAACTTGTTCACTTAATAACACACAGTGCCAACAGTGGACACAAATCAAGTTTCCCCTTTCAGTGGTGCCCAACTGGGCCACGGTACAGACATGCCGCAGTCCACACAAGCGTGGCAGTTGGATGGGTGCTTGGTGGAACTGAGGTCCCATCCCCACCCCACACGACAACACTGGGACCCTGCTCTGAATTTCTGGCAGGGTGCACTCCAGGCGGGGTGGCAGGGTGGACATCTCTGCACTGTCACTGGGGTCTGTGCTGCAGGTGGCTCCTCCCCAAAGCTGAAGCTGTCAAGTCCGTGCCAGGCATGGGTCAGAGCACCCTCCCGGGCCTCCCAGGGTGGACACCCAATTGTGCACCACCGGATGTGGCTTCTAGGCAGCCCAAGAGAAGGCAGAGCAGGGTAGAGTAAAGACACGGGGGACCTGCAGCCCCTGACGCACCCCCGCCGCCCCCCTCCCATCTCCCTCCCGCCCCCTCCCACCTAGCCTCACCTTCTGCAGAAGCTCGATCTCCTGCTGCTTAGCGTTGAGGACAGCCAGGGCTTGCTCATGCTCCAACTCCAGCTGCTGCCGCCGTTCAGCAGCCTCACGCATGTGCTGTGGGAACAGGAGGCCCCTGAGCGCCAGCACAGCCCACCATGCTCCACCAGCCACGCTGCCTCTCCCACCACCCCCAACAGTAGCACTGGTCCCTCACCCCCTCTCCACGGCCTGTGTCCCCATAGGAGGCAGAGTGGATGGGGAATCCTGGCCCAACGAGGCCCCACCCCCTGCCTCTATGTTCAGTGCTGGGAGCATCGGAGCAGAGCTGCAGGGCCTCTGCGGTCCTCAGACATGAGGGTGCCCGCTCCTCTCCCCAGGTGGACATTCTGCAAGGCCACCCCTTCTCCTCCAGGTTGGGGCTCCCACTTCAGCTGGAGGACCTTACGGTTACCACAGGGGACAGGTGGATAAGCCTTGCAGTCACACCACCGCTACATGGACATCCACCCCAGGTCCACGCCCCCTATGTAGCCTCCTGCTCAGTCTCTGGCCCCACTTGTGGCTCCCGTGGACCAGAGGTCACAGTCCGCAGGAAGGGTCCTAAGGGAGTGTCAGTCAGGCCAGGTTTCTGGAGCTGAGTGAAGGGGTGTGCTCCTGGGGCGTGTCCCGGCCTCAGGACATCCCCCGTCTTTGCTCAAAAGGCAGAGTCCAAGCCCCAGGGCCCGGTTCCAGCTCTCATCTGTTAGCTCTGAGCACAGACTGCTCCTGCCTGTGCCCCGTGGCTGGTCACCACCAAGCCCTGCAGCAGAACAGGGAGGGCAACAGAGCCGCTGAGGCCCGAGCAGTACATTCAGTGATCACGACCAGCCTTGACCACATGAGCACATGCTGAGGAATGACCTCACGTGGGGGGGCACACGCCAGACCAAGGGACTCTCACAGGAAGCACTGGCCATGTGGTCCAAAGGGAGGAGACCAGAAGGGGCCCATGTCAAATTCAATTCAGTTTTCTTCTTTTTTTATATATATATTATAAAAAAATTGACTTTGTTGTCAATATTTTGAGATTTGGATCTTTAAGGTGAAAGTTCAAATTCCCTAAAAAGTGAGGAGATTCAGGTTGGGGATGTGGCTCGGTGGCACGAGTCTGGCATGCCCGTCTCCTGTCCCACACCTGCCCTCCCTCGGGCCCCTGACATCTGAGGGTCCTAGATAGCCACCAGCAACACAGGGAAGGCCCAGAACAAGGGGCTTGGGTCACAGCCTGCCTTCCTTGTTCTTCTGGGCTGGCTGGCTATCCCTTTCTGTTTATTTATTATTTTGTGATCTTATTTGTTTTTAGCCTCATTATCTTCACTTAGTTTGGGACTCTTGGAGGCAGGTAGCCTTCACCACTCATAGGGAAGAAGGCTCCCCTCAGTGAGAAGCAGGGGACAGCTTCCTGAGGCTGTGGACACCCCCAGGAGCAGGCAGAGGCGGCCCTGCTGAGAGGGGCGGGAGGGGCCAAGAGGGGCAGAGAGGCCTCAGTGCTCCTCCTGACACCCCCCACTGGCCAGAAGCCCCTCTGCCTGCGAGCATCTGGAGAGGGCCTTCTTGCCCCAGGACGGGAGAGGCATTTTGCAGAGAGCCGCAGTGGGTGAGTTATTTGCTGGCATTCGAGAGTGAAGTCACCTGGAGTGTGGTGTTGGGGGCGACCTCTGCACCCCTCTACCATCTCCAAAGCTGCTTGGTGAACTCCAGGGCTGTAATTACCCACAGACGAGTTGCAGTTGCTCTGTTACCATGGAAACCCTCACAGGAACCCAGGATGCTCGGGAGATAGAGGTCCCCCAGACAAGGGCACCCATAAGACACAGGTGTACATCAGGTACCAGAACCCCATCATGCTGGACTGCAAGGGGTCTATGAGCAGGAGACACCCAGAGGGCACACAGAGCCTCCCTGTGCATCCGGGAGCTGCTCCAGGACCCAAGGACACAAACTCGTCAGGCGCTTGGGTCCTTGCACAGGGTTTGCACATGGCTGGGCACAACCTCCCATGTGCTCTGTCATCGCTGATCAACTATAGGACGCAAGCGGTCAGCCTGGGTAAACAGTGGCTGTTCTGTGCTGTCAGGGAACATGACGGGACAGGTCCCTGCATGCTGAGTGCAGGAGCAAAGCTGTTGTCCGTGGCCTGCTGAATCTCAGGTGGGAAACCTCTGACAAAGGGCTGCCCACCCTGTTCTGAGCCTGGCATGAGTCTGTTTCCAGGGCAGGAGGGCTAGTGTCTGCTGTGACCCTCCTGTGACAAGGCCCTGACACACTGCCTTCTGGCCACCAGTATGGGCTTAGCAATTCCTAATGACCTCGCTTCCCCTCTGCTCTGGTGGTCAGGATGCTCTGAACTCCTGGGCAGATTTGAGAGTTCTCCCATGCTGGCCAGGACAAGAGGGTACATGGCTATGTCAGTACGACGTGGAGATGGACAGGACGGCAGCCCTGGATCATGAGGTGCCTTCTGTGTGCCAGGCTCTCTGTGGGTCCACAGGTTCTCCTGCTCTGTGCTGAGAGCCAGGTACTGCAGTTGCCGTGTCACAACAGATGCCAAGCACCTCGCCTGAATCACACGGCTAGAACACAGCAAGGCTGCGTGGCCATACTCCCAGGACAGCTATCTGACAAATCCTTCCAACTAGTTTTCTGCACTTCTGCTGGGCCTGACCATGGCCCAGGGGTCTTCATCTAGTGCTGGGAAGGTGGTTACCTGCGAGAGGAGACACATTTCCTCTCGAGGCCTCATCAGAAACAAACTCATGGTCATCCAGCATAAGCCACAGAGGCTCAGGGGCAAGGCAGGCCTCGTGCCGCAACAGTGAAGGGGAGACGGCAGCTCCAGGCCAAGAGAGGGAGACTGCTCAGCTCCTGGGGTGTGAGGTGACGTGGCACAGAGGCATGAGAGCCCAGACCCCTTGCCTCAAGGTCCCAGTCCAGCACAGCTGAGCCTCCAAGCCCGTGCCCCTCAGTGCAGCCTGTCTGCTTGCCTCGCAGTGAGGCCTCAGGAGGACCGGCCTGTCCCATGGCCCCTCAGACACTCGGGGCTCTCCCAGCCAGGCTCCCGCCTATCGTGCCACGTCACCCAAGCCACGACCCTGCCCTGCCCTTCACACCAGCCTCTCCGACCTCCTGGTCACCCTCCCACCTCACCCTGAGGCCCAGCAGGGCCTAATCTCCTGTGACCTCCAGGCCCTGGACAGCTGCTGCCCTGTGCATCTCTGATGGTGGAGCTTCTCGGGGCACAGACACGCCCTCCCACTTCCCCCATCGCCAACTGGCGCCCTGCCTGGGTGCACAGGAAGCTCGCTCGGCCCAGGGGTGGGCATGGCTCTCTCTCTCTCAGAGGAGGGCTGAGGATTACTCGTGCCATCTCAACAGAGCCCCGTCCTTCCCTCAGCTCTGAGGATAGGGGCTGGTAGCCGACCTTGGTGCCATCCCTTGCTCAGCCTCTGAGTCCTCAGGGCCCTCTGTCTGGCCTGCACCCATCCCCGTGCTGACTGCCTCTGCCAGGTCCACTGCACCCAGTCAGCCCTCCCTGGCCACACCCACACGAGGTGCACCCTCCTGCCGCCAGCCCCGCCTGCTCCACAGTGGCCAAAGGTGGCCCCACACAGAGCCACCTCCATGCCTCTCGAGGGCGCCAGGGCTGTTCGTTGACATGGAACAGCTCCAGACTTCCCCAGGGCCACAGCACCTCTGTGGCCAGCCCCAGTGTCAGCCTGCACTCTCACCCTGTGCTCCTGCCCGACGCTGAGGCCAGCCTCTGCCTGGGGCCATGATGCCACCATTCTCACCTGGGGCCTTGGGCACACACCACTCCCACTGCCTGTCCCCGAATGTCCACAGGGCAGACAGCTTTGCACACTTGTTCATTTATTCAGAGTCTTCCTCCCCCGATCCCTGAGGCTACAGACTTGAACATCCAGCTCATGACAAGACAGGGTAAAGGACAGTTGGACACGGCCCTCACACAGCCGCCTGCTCTGTACCCTCGAAGCTGTACTGCAGCCTGCTGTGACCTGTGACCTGCTGTGACTTGTGACCTGCTGTGACCTGTAACCTGTGACCCACAGCCTGCTGTGACCCATTGGCTACTGACCTGTGACCTGCTGTGACCCACAGCCTGCTGTAACCCGTGACCTGTTGTGACCCACAACCTGTTGTGATGCACAACCTGTTGTGACCCAAAATTGATAGTGACTGGCAGCCTGCTATGACCCGTGACCCACTGTGACCCACAACCTGCTATGACCCAAGACCAGCACTGACTGGCAGCCTGCTGTGACCTGTGACCTGCTGTAATCCACAACCAGCTCTGACTGGCAGCCTGCTGTGACCCATGCTGGTGAATGTCACCCATGTCCCTAGTCTGGGTCAGTCTGGAGAGGCCCTGCTTCTGTGTGCACACAGGAGCTGAACACCAGCTCTGTGGAAGTACCTGAGGAGGGAGACCCACATGGGGCTGCAGAGAGCTGGACTTGGCGTGAGAGGCAGAAGAAGACCAGGCCCACGCTTTGCCAAACCCAAAGGCAAACCCAGGCAGTAGGCGCACACCAGCTCTCCTGGTGGACCACGCTGGCTGAGGATGGCGCTCAACAAATTTCCCCGGGGAGGTCAGGTGCCAAAATGGGTCGGGAGGGAGTGGAGGTAGCAGACAGGAGGAGAGAGATGGGCTGGAAGGCTGAAACCGTGGAGCTGGGAAAGAGGACTCACAGGCCAGCTATGAACCAGTCTCCCCATAACGGGACCCCAAACACAAAGCAGGCTAACATGTTACCCTGGCACCAGAACAGACTGAACCACTGGTGGGCGCTGATCTCCTAAATGCATCATCTGCACCTGTTGGTCTGTAGAGGCCCGGCCTGCAGGTCAGTGTTTCCCAGGTGCTGGTCAGGGCTTCCTAATCCCACCAACCCTCACATCTCCTCCTTTCCTCTCCCTTGTCCCAAGCACCCAGACTCAGGGGGAAGGGACAGGGCAGGGTACAGAAACAAAGGCCTCCAGGCTCTGTCTGCAGCCTGCACCCAGGAGTCTGAGGAGACCAAGGAGCTCCTGCAGGAAACCAGGCGGCGGCTCCC